TTGATTGATTGATTGATTGATACACCACACTGAGCTTTATTGATTCTACACTACAGCTCCAATGTGTCAATCATATATGATTCATATTATTTCTATAGAAATCAATCAATCAATAAATACAGTACAAGCGCTGTTTTTAATAATTTAATTTTAATATTTAAATATGTTTCATGTTTCATATGTTTAATATATTTAATATATCTGGATGAACTGTCACAAAAATAGGAACATTGTGAACCAGAAAGTATGAAATTTTGTTATAACAATATCTATAATCAATAAACAATATATATAATCAATGTTTTCATCTATATGAGAGGACATTGATCAGTTGTTTACATCCAACCACAGAACACACCGGAACTATCAATAAACACAATTATTGGGATCAATAAAGAGAAAACTTTAAGTTTGAATAAAAACTACAATCAGAGCGGCTTCTCTACTTCCTGTTTTCCTACTTCTTACTTCCTGTTTCCTGTCTGGCAGCAGCAGGAACTTTAGGTTGTTTGTTTGTTTGTTTGTTTGTTTGTTTGTTTGTTTGTGGATCTTTTAAAGATTCCTTCAGTTTCTGTATCGTATCAGATATGACGGACGGTCGGATCATTACAATCAATCAATTATTGATTGATGGATTATTGATGGATTATTGATGGATTATCAGGCTGCTGGATCCTCTTCCGACTCACAGTAAGTTCCCCCGCTGCCTGCACTCAAGGTCCTCGTCAATACCAGCTGCCGCTGCTTCATTCTGATGTTAAATCAATCAGTTAATCAATCAGAGTGTTTCCTGCCCATGTACGGAGGACTAAAGCTGCCGTTATAATAATTAAATAATTCATTTAATTTGTTAGCACATTGAAACCTTGAGATAAATGCCATACAAATAAAGTCATTATTATTATTATTATAGACATTTAAACTACTTATTTAAAATTAATCTATTAATTTATCTGACAAATTACCTCTTTTTGATTTTATTTCTTTTTCTAATTAATTATTTTCCAATATATTATTTTCTGTTTCTTTCAGTTGTTATTTATTTATTATTATTATCCTAATTGATTAATGTATTTTCTTTTGATAATCATTCAAATAAATAAATAATTTTAATAGGCTAATGATCTTTATTCCTTTGGAAACGCTCTTGCCCTCCGCTAACTGATGGCTATCTCGGTTAGCATTAGTTTGCTTTTAGCTGCCGCACATTTAACACATTTAAGTGTTTGCTTGTTTGTTTTTGTTTGTTTGTGTGAAAAAGTGCGATTTTGGTCACAAAGTTTTAGAAAAATTTTATGATGAATAATTAATAATTACTAATTATTGTGTTTTTCTGATCCACGCCGGCAGCGATGAACAACTGTCGGGTGAAATTAAAAGTTTATCAAGAGAAAACAAAGAAAAGCAGTTTTTGAGATTAAAATAAGATCAGAGGCTGCTGCGCATTTTGATTTATTTATGATCATATTTGTGTCGTGAATGAATTTTCTGTCATCAAACGATATTAGACTAATGAAATATGCACAAACACCTTCCTCTTCCTCTTTTATCTCTCCAATCAATCAAACTTCCACAGTAAAACTTTATTTGATTTTCCTGTCAGTCATACAAAAATATAAAATAGTTAAATATTAAAAACATCTCGACGGGACAGCGTTTTCTTGTTTTCTTTGTGTTCTTCTGACAAACAAATGAGACTTTGAGATTAAAAGTTTCCAAACAAACTTTGATTCAGTTTGTTTGGAAACTTTCAGAAGTTCCCAGTGAACCCGAATATAATAAAACATATAAAACAATAACCAGGAACTCAGAGGGAAGAACTAACGAAAACTAGCACCACACACTAACAAATCATATCTGCTGCCAAAACCTAAACCGCTACCTGCTAATTGTTTACTGCTAACTGCTAATTGTTTACTGTTTACTGCTAACTGCTAGTTGCCCCAGAGTCAATATATCATCCATAAAGATACAGTGTATTCTGATCAATATCATCCATAAAGATACAGTGTATACTGATCAATATCATCCATAAAGATAGTGTATACTGATCAATAGAAGTTGTGGCTGGCTTTAGGCCCAAACTGTTTGACCACTAATTACGACTAGTTGATCATTAATCAATAAATCAATAGTTTGATCTGTAAAATGTCAGAAATGATGAGAAACGTCAGAAAATATTAAGTTTTAATTATTTTATTTAAAACAGAAATAAAAACAAAAAATTGAAATAAACAGAAAAAATCTGATTAAAACCGATCGAAGTGATCAATGAAGATAGCATGTTAGGATTAGCATTAGCTTACGCTAGCTACAGCTAATCAAAGCTAACTAATAATAAATATTTAGATAAAAACATCTGTAATTTAATTAACATTTAAATTAATTGTTAAATGATAATAATAATAATGTTTGTCGGCAGGAAGCTTCCGTACAAGAACAAATAAAGATTCAGTGATTATTCATCAGCGGCCTCCAGAAACTCAACATCAATAAATCTGCTAACAACCGCTAACGTCCCGAATGAACATTTTATATTAAATCAACAAATACGGAGATTAAATCAGATTCATTAAAGTTTTAATACAGCAGCTTCTTTAGCTTCACGCTAGCAGCTAATCTGACTGGAGGGTTTGTTTTCCCCTCCGCTCATCTCATCAGGTTGATGGCGGGCGGTCTGATGGCGGTCGGTTCGAGGGTTCACCAGCACTTGGAGGAGGGCAGTAGGGCGGGTTTGACCCTCCATCCGGGGTTGAAGATGTCTCGAACTTCTGCCTCCAGACGAACGCCGGGGACCTTGAAGATGGACACCGCTAAAACACAGAGAGAAGAAGAAGTTTGAGGTTTGTCATAGATTCATTTTAATTTTTTTATTTTTTATCCTCCAAAGGGGAAATCTGTGTCCACAGCACTGCAGCTGCAAGCAACACCATACACTCAACAAAGA